AAAAGCTTAAGTTTGGGGGAGTTGATAACTAGGAATTTTGACGTGTTTCATGCTCCTTTTTGCTTACGCTTTGATTATAAAATTCTTACAAAATAAACCCAAAAGGCTCATAAGTTATGCTTGATTGTAGGTTTGATCAACAAAGTGACGAGATGTCAAAATCGACTCAAAAGGAGTGAAACCTGCACAAGTATCAAAGACAAAGAGAACTCAGGACAAACTAGCCTAGTGTGGCCGCAGTCCATTCTGTGCGGTCCGCACTAGGGAGATTCAGAGATTGGCTTTTTAGGGCATCAAAGCAGTGCGGACGCAATAAATATTGTGCGGCCCGTACTGAAGACACCGCGGCCGCACCACCATTTTATGCGGTCCGCGGAAGCAAACTTCAGAGAGATGTCAAGTGCCAAGGTTCAAGCCTGTGCGGTCGTATTTGTGCGGACCGCGCTAGAGGCCTCCACGGCCGCAGTCCATTCTGTGCGGTCCGCGGAGCTTGGGTTCAGAGAGTTGATTTTTCAGAGTCAAGAGCCTAGTGCGGCCGCACACCATTTTGTGCGGTCTGCACTGACCCCGCAGGGGCATTTTTGTCCAATTTTTCCAGCTTAGTATAAATAGAATATTTTTCCATTTTTTAGGGTATCAGATATTACAGAATAGTAGCTGCGCTCGTGAGAAACTATTTTGTAGCCATTTTGGGCACTTTAACGTAGTTTTAGCAATTGAATCATTATATTTACTTCAGTAATTTAATATTATGTCTTTCTCTTCATCTATTTCTCTGATTTTATCTTCAAGCATGAGTAGCTAAACCCATTAGCTAGGGTTGTGGCTCAACCCTAGTGTGGGTAATTGATGGGTGTTGTGATTTAAGGTTAGATTGATTATGGGTGTTCGTTATTTAGGTCAATTTTATGGTTTAGTTTTTGAATTAGTGGTTGCAAATACTAGTTTGTGCTCTAGACTTGGGCTCTTCTTGAGAAAGAGAGCCTAAGTCTCCAAAATTGACTCAACAAGGAATTGGGATGGACTCAAGAGATTTGATAGTCCCAATTAAACGGTTAAACCTCGAGAGAGTAATTACCCGACTTGAACCCTAGTTGCTTGGGCAATTATGCATACCCAATTGGTCTCGAGAGAGTCAATTGGGCAAAACCACTCTTTCTACCGAGAGGTGTAGAGTGGGTAGTATTGAGCAACAGTTATAACATATCTCCCCAATCATGTCGATCATGCCTTAGATGAAATTACCCGTCAATTAGCCACCTAGGTGAAAGTCACTACCCTAGTGCCTTTTTAAACCATTAGATACAACTTGTAGCAATTCTCGTTTAGCATAATCTAGCTACATTTATAATTAGTAGTTGATAATAGTAGAATATAAAGAAAATACCAAAAATGATTGGAAGTGATATTTGGAACAATTACACAACTCCACTCTAGATAGATACTCGACTCCCTTCCTAGCTCCCTGTGGAAATCGATCCCGACCCACAAATCGGGTAAAAGCTATTTGCGACCCTCTCTTCCTACTTTTTAGTAGTGCGGAGTAGGTAGCGATCAGCAAGCGAAGTATCCCCATTTATTTCAGTCTACAGGTACGTACTTGAGTTAAATTCGGGGACCGAATTTTATAAGGTGGGGAGGATGTATTACCCCAATATTTTAAGTGAGGACATATTGGACATTTAGAAAATAATTTAAAATCCCAAACAAAGGAACTAACAAATAAAACAAAACAAAGAAAAAAAAAGGAAAAGGGATGCAAGCACAAAAGGGCCGAAGTCCATTATCTGAACTAAAAGGGAAAAGAACAAAACAAGGGTTAGGGAAGGGAAAAGAAGCAAAAGCTTCAGCAGCAACGAAAAAAAAAACGAGCAAAGAAAGAAAGAAGGAAAAGAGAAAAGAAGGAGGAAGAAGTGGGTGCAGTGCGTTGGAGCCACAACTATAACTGTTGAGCAATCTTAAGCACTAATTGTCTCTTACGGGTATTACTTGAACTTCTTCTTCTGGTAGATTTTAATTTCGATTCTCTTGATTGACAGATTCTACAGAGTAATAGAAATTACACTAGTTCATTCACACAATTGAGAATTTTCTTCCTAAAGAATCAATAGAACTTTATGAAATTTGGAGTAATAAATTATATGAATAGGTTGGAGTTGATAAATTAGTAATTACTCATATGTGGATAAATATAAATCCACAAATTAAGACCCAAACATGAACCCCGATAATTGGGTATTCAAAAATAGCTATGAATTAGCCTAAATAAGAAAATTAGCATGAGATCGATATTATGTAATTATAGATTGATTGGAGGAATTTGTACGAGTTGCTTGAGGTGAAGCAATTGGTATTTCGGCACGAGTACTGTGAGTAGTAATCTTACCGCAATTTGTGTTTTCATAACTTGCATGATCTGCACATGATTTTTAATATGAATATGTTACCGATTATTTTGAGTTGCATGTGGGATAAGTCTTTTACTCGATATGATAAAGAAATAGTCATTTGAGATGATTATCGTTGTTTAAATATTCTTGTGGTCACCAGATATGTTTTACCGTTACGTGAATTTTATGTTATCGAAATAAAATTACATGATTTGATAAGAACCGAAATGCCCTATATTTTAAAATACTTTTTCTACGAGTATATACGGATTACAAAGACAAGTATAAATAGGAGTAGACATTGAAGGATCCCGTAGTTAACGACGGGTTCGTTAGACCTGGTGCAACATATTACATATTACTGTTACAGCCCTTGCTAGTGGGAAGGTAGAACTAGCATACCGTTACCGATTTTCCTCGAGTAGGGACTACCATTATATTTGACTTCTTGCGAAGAAGTCCACAGTTATTCCGATTACAAGATCCGTTCATTGAAAGCTCCCAAATGTGAATATTGATATTATACAGTGGTTACTGAGCTTATTACTGAACTGTTAATTGTATTATACTACAAGAAAAGCATGATGAGACTGAAAGTTATTTATTATTTCTGAAAGGGCATTTTTACGGTAATTTCTGTTTAATATACTAGCATATTTCTGATTTGTCCCCAATAAAAATGGTTGTGGTTAAGTGTTATTACTCACTGAGCTAGCGACTCATTCCCCATTAACTTTTTTTTTTACAGAGACAGCTGTTGACGCAGGCGAGAATTTTGTTAATTAGAGCGCACAGGTTGATAGTTCTTGGTGAGCCTCGCACTTGTTCGCGTGGGCAGAGATTTTATTTATTGTTATGATCTTTTTCTTTGAACTCTTAGAGTCGCTCCATAGTAATTATTTCAGTGTCATGAGTATTCTTTTGTGATTATAGTCTTATGTTGAGCATCGTTCTCATTTATCAAAGTTGGAGATAAATTAGTATTTCTAGTGGTTAGTTGGTGATTTAGTTATGGTGGAGACTTGTTTTGGTTAATTGACAAGTTGTCAATTTTTTGGTATGGTACTAGGATGTTTGGTTGTTGATTTGAGACAGGGAATTTTTTTGGGATAGTCCAAAAACAGGGGAAACTCTGCCCGATTTTCTGTAAAATACCGATGAGGCTTACTTGGGGGCAGTTGCTCCTAAGTGCCGGTCATGATCCTAATTTGGGCCGTGACAACAACCGACCCCATGTACTCCGTAAGTGTCGAGCCTAACCTCGACGAAGTAGTGACGAGGCTATGACAAGACACCCACGTAAATAACCTGTGCAGATAATAATATACATGCAAGATAACAACAAATAAGGGCTAAACATGTACTGCTGGGAGGGGACATGCGAAAGGGGTACAAGATACGATAAATACAACAGGAAATGATAACCAGAACAATCAATATGCCTTTAACCAGTAAAACGAATAAACACAATGAATAAAACTGCATGGCGTCACCCTTCGTGCTTTTACTCTCAACCTCACAATAAAATAATAACACGGCATGGCATCACCCTTCGTGCTTTTACTCTCACTTTCATCATAAATCAAGAGATATGGCACGACATCACCCTTTGTTCATTAACTCTCAAAATATGGTACGACATCATCCTTCGTGCATTAACTCTCACAATATGGAACGGCATCACCCTTCGTGCATTAATACTCAAATACGGCACGGCATCACCCTTCGTGCATTAACACTCAAATACAGCATGACATCATCCTTTGTGCATTAACACTCTCCCTTACCATATGACAATGAACATATAACAACAAAGAGATTGAATAAACAAGAACAAGCCTTACGTCAACAAGGGTTCCACAATACCAACCTCAACTTTAGAAACAATACTCAATTATCACAGAAATCCCATAACGATCAATTTAATAAGTAACTAGTCTTAGCATGGATAACATGATCAAGTAAGCAATAAGTTACAAGGAATAAGTCCCACCTGCATGCTTTAACCCAACAACAACGCGTAAGTACTCGTCACCTCACATATATGTTGAACCCAACATCTAAACATGTAGCAAATAGGCAAAAAGTCCTAATCCCACAAGTCAAGGTTAACCATGATACTTACCTCGCTCCAAAGATCAACTCAAAGCTCAACCACAGCTTTGCCTTTCAAACAAGCCTCCGAACCAACAAAATCTAGCAAATTACCAATCAAACGATTCAAAATAAGCCTTAGGAACTACCCACGGTTGCAAAAGGTTTAATTTAGGTCATTATTGAAAAAATCAACAAAAGTCAACTCCCGGGCTCGCTTGGTCCAAACCCGAAATTCGGACCAAAACTCGGTTACCGATTCACCCCCGAGCACGGTTATGCAATTTGTTTTGAAATCCGACCTTAATTTGAGGTCTAAGTCCCAATTTTACAAATATCCCTAATTCTACCCAAACCCCCAATTTCCACCTTGAAAATAATAGATTTTAGGTTGAAATCTTGTAAAATGTAATGAAAGATTGAAAGGAAATAGGTTAGGATCACTTACCAATGGATCGGGGAAGAAGGGCTCTTGGGAAAATGGCCGCTAGGTTTTTCTTGTTTTAAAATTTGAAGAATGAGAGAAAACCCCGCGACTGCGAAGAAACAGTTGCAATTCCGAAGTCTTCCCATTTCTACTGTCATCGCAATTGCGATGAAATTATGAACAGTGGACCCTCCATAAATGCCACCAAAATGATCGTAAATGCGAACCCCGCAAATGCAAAGAAACAGTCGCAATTGCAAAGTCTTCTCATTTCTACTGTCATCGCAATTGCGATGAAATTGCGAACAGTGGACCCTCCGCAAATGCGACCAAAATGATTGCAAATGCGAAGAAGCTCTCCCTAGGTGCACTTCGCAAATGCGATCACTGGGTTCGCAAACGCGAACCCAATTGTGAAAGTACAAGAGGAGGGGGGGGGTGAATTGTAGCCTTTTTAAATTTCTAGTCGACTACTCTTCTGACCTAGTCGACTTATGCGGAGACAGCCTGCACAGAACTGTCAGATTCATCCTCATCACTCCATGATTTGTGATTCTTTTTCTTGAGATCACAGTCCAGAATAGCATTAAAGCACGCCTCGTCAGTTTCTTCTCTTTTCTTGAGACATATGTTTATCATTTCTTCTTGATCATCCTCGTCGCTCCAAGTTGAGATTCTATGATTTTTCTTCTTGGGGCCGGGACATTTTAATTTCATATGTCCAGGTTTACCACATCTGTAGCAGCATATGTTTTTTTGTTGTTGAACCTTATTCTTCCGATTCTTCTGATGATTCTGGATGGATTGAGATTTTCTATTCTGCTTCTTTCTACTCTTCCTTTTTCTCGTCCTGGGTATCACGGCCAAGTCTTCTCGATTTTCACCATTTTCGGATACTTCAAGAGTTGACATGGATTCAATTACCTTAACTTTGTTGACGTCCCCGTGGATATTTTCCAATCTGTCCCATATATCTTTAGCAGTCTCACAGGTGGATATTCTCTTATATTCTTCTTCACTAATTGCACAATAGATCATGTTGATTGCTCTAGCATTTGTTTGCATAATATCCAACCGTTCTTTTGTGTAGTCAAATATGGATTCTTATTTTACAAGCTTCTTTCCATCATTGTTGTTCGGAATAGGTCTTGGTCCATTCTGAATAACTAACCAGGCTCGATAATCTATTGATTGAACATAAACCCTCATTCTTTCTTTCCAATGGCTATAGTATTGACTATTGAAGTACGGTGGCCTTCTTGTTGAGTATCCCTCTTGAAGTACGGTTCCAATAATTTGATGGCCTGCCATGGATCTTTTCTCACTTGCTGTTAAGCAAAAAAAATAAAGATGTGAGACCTGCTCTGATACCAATTGAAAGTACAAGAGGGGGGGGGGGTGAATTGTAGCCTTTTTAAATTTCTAGTCGACTACTCTTCTGACCTAGTCGACTTATGCGGAGACAGCCTGCACAGAACTGTTAGTCCTTTCTATTTAAACAAGTGTTAATCACAATGAACAGTAAAGGAACAGAATATAGTATAAGAGCGATAAACTAAATGACACCAGGAATTTTATACTGGTTCGGAACCAATGTGGTATCCTAATCCAGTCTCCTTGGTTTACAAGGATGTTATCTCTTGAGCTCTTTGTAATTTGTGTTGAGTACAGCGTGTGTGATTTTCAACGTTCACCACCAACGTTTACAGGGTTGATTTTCACTCGCTCACCAACAACGACCCTTTGGTTTTCACTCGCTCACCAAAGAAACGAACAATGACACAACCTCTCCGGACACACTGCCTCTCCAATTTTTCTGTCTCTCTTCTCTCTTTTGTGTACACAACAAATCTACTAAAGTGAATTACAATGCTTGTTAAGAGTAGAATAAAGAACTTGTAGTTGGATAGACCATTGTATAGAAGGATGCGTGTCTTCTTCTTTCCTAGGCTCTCATTTTTATAGACTTCAATGGCTTCTGACGTTGGGTTTGATCTTGCTGATCCCTTGATTTATTCAATCAGAATATTTTCTCCTTTGATTGAGTAGATACCAACGTAACTTCCTGATGAAGTGTCTTGTTGATGGACTCAAATATATTACCAATTTGCTGATATTCTGGACTCCATGCCTTAAGCTCATTTGATTTCTTTCCTTGTGAAGTAGCCAATATTATTGTGTATCCATAAAATGAGATCTTCCCATTTGAAGTGTTGTCAATAAATGCACCAGTATATATTGAATCTTTCTTCCTTGAAAGAGCTTGGTGATTCTCTGCCTTTGATCTTGGAGATATAATTTCTTACTATAATATTGTAGTAAGAATATTCCATACGTAGTAGATCTTGTCCAAAACTTTAGGGAGCATTCTTCCATAATTCACAAGGTTCTTTTGGTAGGTCTTGAAAAATAATCTCTTTCCATAAGATAGATTGTACTACATCCATAATATATTTTCTTTCCATAGAAAATATATTCTTCCTTGGTCTTGTAGTATCTTTTCCATGTAGTATCTTCCTTCCATAAAATAATAGATCTTCTCCATGATTTTAGCAACTTTCCTTTGAAGAGCTTTCCATCCATAAGTTCCATAGATTTTTCTTCTGATATTGTAGTAAGCCATTCAATATTTGAAATTTCACTTTCAAATATTATTCCTTCTAGATTAAATCTCTGAAAATCATCTTCCTTGATGAATTCTTCACATGATATTCTCTTTCCCCTATTTGTTTGGATCTTCACCAGCAATTTCTTTCCTGTACAAGAATAAGATTACCACAAGTAAATGCTCTTTGATTAATAGTTATTTTTGTTTGTTATCATCAAAATTAATACGTGAAACCTTGAAGCTAACAAATAGGCTTGGCAACGTTTCGCAAATGCGGACTCAGACCTTGCAATTGCGAGATCTGAGGCATGTACCAGAAACAGTTGTACCAACTATTTTCCTAAGTTCAAACCACTCCGTAGCCTATCCGAAACTCACCCGAGCCCTCGGGGCTGTAAACTAAATATGCGCACAAGTCCAAAAATATCATACGTACTTGCTCGCGTGATCAAATCACCAAAATAACACCTAAAACTACGAATTGGATACCAAACCAAATGAAATTTTCAAGAAAACTCATGAACTTCTATTTTAACAACCGGACGTCCAAATCACGTCAAACCAACTCCTTTTCTGACCAAATTTGACAGACAAGTCATATATGTAGAATGAACCTATACCGGGTTCCAGAACCAAAATACGGACCCGAATCAATAAAGTCAAACATTGGTCAAACTTTTAGATTCATTAAGCCTTCAAACTTTGATTTTTTAACAAAACACGATAACTCGAGCTAGGGACCTCCAAATTCGATTCCGGGCGTACGCCCAAGTCCCAATAATGATGCGGACCCATCGGGACAGTCAAAACACGGATCCGGGTCCGTTTGCTCAAAACGTTGACCGAAGTCAACTCAAATGGATCTTTAAGGCAAAATTTCATATTTTATCAATTTTTTTAACATAACTTCGAAAAAATACTCAGAATGCGCACGTAAATCGAGAAAGTCTAAAAATGAGCTATTTGAGGCTTCAAAACATAGAATTAGGTTCTAAAACTATAGATGACCTATCGGCTCATCACAACCTACAACTCCAGGGTTGTGATTGTATGTTCGAGTCACCAAAGGAGCAATAACTCCAATAAAGGAGAATCAAAAGGGGAGGGAAATTTAAAATAAAAATAAGAAAAAGGATGCTAGGGGTTGCTCAAGGGTGGACCAAATTCGATGCCTAATTTAGGATTAGGAGACAAAGGAAAAGGAATTTCTTGTAAGGTTATGTCATGCACATGTGACATATGTAACAGGGAGGTGTTCTCCCATTTTTTTTTTTTTGGAAATTTAACTTCTTGAACCTAGTTGTCTTTACACTAGGATCTCTCTTTGTTCTTGGAAATGTAACAGTAAATTATGTGAAGATAACATGTACTTTTTGGTCATTGATATGTACTTCCTCTGTTCACTTTTACTTTTCCAGTATTCTAAAAATAGATTTTCACTGTTATTTGTCACTTTTCAGATATCAAGAGAATACAATTTCTTTTTTCGTGTTATACGCATAGTATTAATTACTCATTTCAAATCATTTTCTCAAATCCACAAATAATATGCATCAATTAATATGGGCATCATGATATTTTATGCATTTCATTTATTATTTCTTAAAGGATGTGCAAAGTTCATAGTGAATAGGTAAAAGTGAACAGAGGAAGTATAAAGTTAGTAATGCCTAACTTAATATATAGGTTTGAGGTTAAGCCTAAACCCCCACCGTGAAGCTTTCAGTAGGACAAAAAAGGACACGTTCTCCATTAATACGAGACACAATTGCATAAGTACTCCACAACAGTCAACTCATTTTATTTCCTTTCATATATAGTTAAGTAGCACGAATTAAATATTCACATAGAAGAAGGGATCGATATATTTTTAGTATAATTTCTTGATGAGAGTGCAGCTTTATACATGATTATTGCCATTTATTTATTTTTATTTTTGACTTCAATCACCAACATCATCAAATGCCGTTCTTATATATTGGCCAACATCCATTTGCAACATTCAGATCGCCCTGCACCATTAAAATAAAACGGGATCATTCATTTAATTTGAGAGAGAAATATCAGTAGTAGAGGTGACAAAGGAAACCGATAAATCGTACCAAACCGATAATTCGAGAAAAAAAATCCGATTATAGTTTGGTCTGGTTTGATTTAATTTGGTTTGGTGTTAGAAAAAAAAATACGATCATAATTGGTTTGCTTTGATTTTAACTAAAAAAAGTCAAACCGAAATCAAACCAACCCGACATTACATGTATGCAAGTTTTAAAAATATTTTATACATACAAATAATTATTGTAATGTAATTTATGAATATAATTTAAACTCTTTAATAGTTCTCTCTTTCAATGTATTATTTCAAGCTTGAACTTAGAACTTTTGAATGGTCAAATATGTTTTATAGCCCATAAAAGCTAGTAACTCAAATAAAGCAGAAAGCAAAGTCAAAATCAAATAATACTAGGCTAACAAAAAGAATTCAATTCAATGCTAGAAATGACAATAGTATTGAATATTTACTTTTTTAGTTTTGCATTGATTTAGACAGTGAAAATGCATAACTCACTTTTAATATTATTTAGTCATGTAACTAATACTTAGTACTTATTAGTTGTACTTATTTTAACACGACTTAATACTTTTAGATTATGTTTATTTTTATTATGGCTTATTAGCAATATTTATCTTATGCGATTGAGTATTTTAGTATAATCATGACTCATCTCACATTATTTTATTAGATAACATCTTATATAGTTTTATCCTACTAGGACCTAAAAAATATTTTTGTAACGTTGTAAAGTTTGCTTAACTCTTTGGGCGGTAGAGCACAAATTATAAATTTTATGCTATGAAGATTTTGTCAGAAAAAACCACGAAAAACCCGAGAAAAATCGTAATAGAGAAACACGACCTTTGTTGGTATGGTTTAATTTATAAATTAAAAAATCCGAGACAATTAATTTGGTTTGGTAATTGAAAAATCCCAATCAATTCGGCCTATGTCCACCCCTAACCAGTAGGCGTCTAGAGTTTATGTAAACTTCTCATTTCTCGTGGGATGGAGAGCATACACAAAAATATGGGAGAAATTAAAAAATAGCCAGATTTACAAGTGGTCGTTCATAAATAGCTCACTTTCAAAAGTAATTGAAATTTAGTCACTTTTCATGTAAAGATAAATCTTAGCGAAATGCTGGAGTTCCAGCATAAGTATACTTGAACTCCAGCATATTATACTGGAGTTCCAGGATAAGTATGCTGGAACTCCAGCATAATATGATGGAGTTCCAGGAAATTCATACACAAGTGCTCGAATCTCCAGTATATTATGCTGGAACTTTCCGCGTGTTGGAGTTCCAGCATAATATGCTGGAAGTTCATACACAGGTGCACCGAACTCCAGTATATTATGCTGGACCGGTCTCTGTTGCAGCAAAATAGTGGCTATTTTTCTTTAACTTAATAAACGCTGGCTATATTTGAATGACCAGTCCGAAAACTGGCTAGACCGTGCTATTTTTACCAAAAATTTAGGTCGCTGGGGTACAGCACCACTGCTAGTTTACGACAGTGAGTGAGAAGTTAGGTGTAGATTATCTACATTGACGACATAAATTTTTTTACACTATCAATATACTTTAACCTATAATAGCAAGTTATTACTCTATTTTCTTTTGTACGATCATGTTTATTATAAACAGTTACCGATTATTGCAAGTAATTTCGGTCTGATGGTTTAAACACTATCATAAGCTAGCAGTGATAAGAGATGAAACTCTAAGTACATGTTTTTAAATTTTATCGACTGTCAATCTACTTTAAGTCAACCTGCTATATATATATATATATCGAATCAAAAAATAACCTAGCACAATTAGTGTGTTGGCCAACGGAAGGCAGAGATGAAGGCGTATGACATTGTTGTGAAGCAAGTGTGATACGAGTGGGATCATAATGAATACGTGAAAGTGCCATCTTTATACACTTGCAAACAGCTACACGATCCTTGCCATTTTTTACCTCTTTGGCTATGTCATTCAGTCCTTTGCAGCACATATTTGATGGCTTGTCCGATTTATGATGTTTCCCTCTAATATAAGACACACAGGGTACTATCCCTTTTGCAACTGTTTTACAAGAAGGTTCGGCAATTGCTGGTGTTGCTATAACAAGCAAGAGAATGATCATAGCATAGAATAGCCTTGCCATTGTTTTTTGTTTTTGTTTGTTTTTGGTGCTTGTGTGCAAAGTGGAAAACTTAACTAGTATACTATTTATATCATGTGAGGCAAGTGGTTGTTGCCTGAATTTCTTGGGAGTTAGCACACAAGTATCATGGAATGCTGATAATCCTCTACATTTCAAGAATGTGATTGATTCAGTATGTAACAGAAAAAAAGAGAAAAAATAGTTGATTATATACTGGATTCAATTGTTGACATTTCCGTTGGGAGAAAGGAATTCAACCAGGCTAAGAATATGCAAAACTTTTTGCTTCTTCTTAAAATAATAATAATAATAATCCACGCTATATGAAATCTTGCACAATCAAAAAAATATTTTTAGTACGAAAAACAGAGTTTTCAAGGTCAATTTCTTTTTTAATACGCTTCCTTATTTTGGAATACAAGTTGAGAAGTAAAAGATCACGGGCCGATTAGAAGGTTCACATCCACCTTTATACACACATGTGCGTGTGTGCGCGCGTGCAAAACATGTAAGTGTGATAGTTAGCCCTCTTTCAGAGTTTAAGTTTGACTAGAGTGAGACATGTCAAATAGCCAAAATCTATTGAAACCCATAGTTTAGTAGAATACTACAAATTTACAAGGCAGGGGTAAAATGCCTGTTATATTCAAGGTTTAATTCTAAATTCTAATCTTACAGAGATACAACAGACTCTTCTATCTGAATAGCTGTAGGAACTAACAGTAAACCCAAACTGCAACAGCCAAGTCATTGATGAGCCTCTTTCCAATATTTCTAATTCTAGCTTTAGGAGCTAAAATCAGGTTCAGCTGGCTTCTGAAGCAGTAAGGGACTTACTTTGCTAGATGATTTGGAACCCTTAGGGTGGTTGCGCCGCAAGACACGCAATGCGTTGGCAGCAAATCTTGATGCATAAATGGTAGCCCCAAGACTTGGTATATTTGCAGTCTCATTTACCAATGCAGCCTGCAGTCTATCTTCTTCCTCTTTCAAAGATTTCTCAAGCTTGTTCCTGTAGTGTCTGCGCCATGCTGCTTGTATAAAGCATGCTGCCCATGTCCTCCAGTGCTGTGAATAGAACCTGAAACAGCCAAAGTACATTGAAATTGTTAAGGGCCTTCACGTAAACTGATGGCAGTAAGACTTGTGCTTTGAAACTGAACAAGGTTTGGTCAACATACCTAAAAGTATGCCGAATCTGCTTACTATGAAGGCGTCTAAATTGGGCGGCGACAAACTTGAGATCATCAGCTGTGAGAGCAAAAGCTTCAACATCTATAACAGCTTGCACTGTTCTAGTTGAGGCGGGAAGAGTCGAGGAAGCATGGGGATCCAGAGCCCATGTAAGAAGCTCCTCTCCACAGAAATCACCAGCCGTGAGAGATGCAGAGTTGAAGAAGCCAGTTCTTCCGCCATTGGTAGTGATAGTCAACAAAGTACCTCTCATCAGAAAAAGCATCTCATTCACTGGATCTCCCTCTCGGATTATGAAGCTATTCTCTGTGAAAAGAGCTGGTTTCAGTCGATCACACAATGCATCCAGTAACTGTTCATCCATTTTCTCAAACATGGGCACCTGCATATAGAAGATTAAATAAGGCCATTCAAGAATGGAAAAAGGGCATCATGAGAACAAAAACAGACACTCACTCTTTTGAGCAAAGACCAGCAGAGATGGCGCTTTACGTCTCTCCTCAAGTCTTTGGGAAGGTTACAAATTAGATAGTCTTCATCAACGCCTCTAGTTTGTTGCCATTTGTACTGCTCATATCTTCGAATGCGCTCTCTAAGGTTGTCAGGAAGCATGCGGTGAGACATCCACTGTTCTGCATCCCGCCTTCTCAACCTCATCCCTTCTACTCTAACTGTGATAGACTGCAAATATTCCTGTAGCCAGCAAAAAATGAAGCATTAGTTAACGTCAATTCTCTTCAATGTAAAACATTTTCATCTTTTCTTTAATTTGGCAAAAAGAAACTCAAGACTCTTAAGGTAAGAACTAAGAATAGGTGCTCCATCAATGTATACCTGCATGTTGCCAATAAGCAAGGAAAACAGGATCAGCCCAAGAATGCAGATGAAGACGGCAAAGAGAATCTCCCCTACAAAGTCGCTTGTGTTAAGGCCTTGGCCTAGAGAACTGAGATACAGAAGACAGAAGGTTCTGCTTAGCTGACAGACAGTTGGAAGATGATTAATAAGGATAATGAAAAACAAAAAACAGGACCACAGACCTTAAATTTCGCAGCCCCCACCAGAAGCAATAGCTGAGTTTGGACCAGAAGTTTCTTCTTTGTACAACTCGAGACTGAAGAGCATCACGGAATATCCCAAAATCAAAGTCATTCTCTTGTATTTCTTCCGGTTTCAGGAGACGACAAGAAGAATTAAGAAATTGAGCGTTTTTCCCTTGTTGCCCGCAACATAAGTGGTCTAACACACATTCTTCAAAACCCTTACATACTTGGCTCCAGCAGTTATCTTGTCTTTCCACTGTGATCAAATACCACAGGGCTCCAACTACCTGAGGTCCGATAGTTGTGCATATTATTATACATGTGAAGAGAAAAAAGAACATATATATATATATACACTACACACACAAAACAGTGATCTCCTGTTTCGTTAGGAATCAGTGTCTTAGTGGAATAGAACATGCAAGTATAGTTTCAATAAGTAATTCAGATATTAATTACTAAAGTAAATAATATGTCTCACAAAGGATGATTGATTTTTGCAGAAGACAGGTAAGCAATGTCTGCATTTTCTGACCATAGATTAAAGCACAATCGATATAAAATGAGTGATATAAGGAAACATACATTACTGGCGATCATGAATAGGAATAAGTTGAAAGCAGCTCCAGCCCACGCTGTTTCAGTAAAAAAACCTGTTGTCCTTGTTACTTCTCTGTATAACGGAAATATCCTAAAGATTCTTGGAACATATTGTGTGAAAACAACAAACACCAACTGTTTTTTCATCACCAGAGATATGGCACGATTCGCGTTAGGAGCGTTGATAAAGAGCACGAGCTGGTACCAACATAAGGGTAAGTATACATGTTAGTACCAATCAGTACCGATATGTAAGCTTTCAAGCATATTAACGGAATTAGACACAAACCTGTGGGAGTGGAAGAACAGCTAGAATGTCAATAATGAAATAAGGGATGTATCGCTTGGCTATAAGGGAAGAGTCCTCAATCAACTCACCCCTACCAAATACTCGAGAAGAAGGAGCGATAAAGCCAGTTCGAAATTGCAAGATAATATGATATATATAGAAAAGATCGGTGACTGATCGCAGAACAGAAATAGGGATCTTTAATGAGTGGTCCAAATCTAGGCATTTTCTCTTGATATCAACGACAGAAATATAGAAGAACAATGGATCAATGGCCACTGAAACTATACAAGCCAAGACAAATATTTTGTTCCAGAATTGAAGAAAAGGTTCCTGAGGATCAAGAACTTTATTTCTTGATGATCCTGCAGATACTCCTTTTGGCCTCCAGTCACCTAGAGAAGAGATGCAGAGTGATTTTCTTTTTAAGCTACTTATTCTATCGGAAAATCCTCTTCTAACAGTACTCATCCATGAGCTGGTTGATGATTTTCTGCCTGAAAACAGCCCATTATCTTCTGATTTGCAGTCCTCAAACCTGAGTAGAACAGGTCATATTAGATACTAGAAAAATCAAATATTACTGCAAGTTAGAAACATAGATATTTCTATCTAATGTCATAAGGCAAGGGATTTAACGTACAGTGTAGTTTTACTTTACACAATTAGTTATCTTGACCTGTTGTAACAGGTTGCTTATATTGTTTTTTCGGGTAACTAGCTTCATTTTACAGTTGCTTGTAATTATCAAGTTGTTGACATGATAATAATTTTTTTTTTCCAACTTTCAGTGTATATAAAAGTTGAACTCTATAGCAAAAGGTACTATGCAAAATACTAACATAGAGCAAACAGAAGCAGAAACCAGAAGAAATATCAGAAGATACTCTACAATAGCTAAATTCAAGAAGGCAGTTCATCAGGTCTTTGAAGGGGAGCCTTGGCGTAACTGGTAAAGTTGCTGCCATGTGACCAGGAGGTCACGGGTTTGAGCGTGGAAATAGCCTCTTGCAGAAATGCAGGGACCCTTGTGGTCCGGCCTTCCTCTACCCGCGCGGGCACTTAGTGCACCGGACTGCTCTTTTTAGTTCATCAGGTGTTAAAATTCATGCAATTTTACTTCTGATAACAGAATTGTTTCGTCCGGTCACAAGTCAAAGGTTGCAAAATACAGGGTAGAGGAGGCTGATCATCGAACTAACCTTAAGTATTTTTCTTGATTGAGAATAGTCATTTTCAGCTTCTACCCTAGGGTACGCTCAGAACTTCAGCTTCTCTTTAATTTCTAGAAAGAGAATGGCCAATCAAAAACGGTTGCCTCTTTCCAGTATACCACTGGAACCTACTCTTCCAACTGAAAGAATTTAACTAAAATTAGGAAATCAAATATCAAAATGCTAGTGTCACATTAAATTTCAAAATGCACCTTGAGATATATTAAAGTGGAGTAAAAAGAAACTTACATTTGGAGAAATAATAATGCACCTTGGTTGAGGAATATAAGAAGAGAAAGAAAGGGCGTGTTTTCATAGATGGAGAAGGTTCCTGGAGATTGCAGCGTTGGATCATTGCACGACAAAATTCAAAGACTAATTTAGTGGGAGCACAGTCGTAAGTCAATGAGGAGCTGCTAAAAAGGGACTGTTATGGGTCCTACGCCTACCAAGCACTTATAAATTTTAATCTTAATTGTGGGTTAGACTAATAACATAGTTTAAGAGTTTCTCAAACGTTTAATAAAGTGAAAGGTTTTAATTGACCATAATATCTTGACACGATGTTGAAATTGATCGGTAAATGAAGGACTTTCTAGTCCTACAATTTAAAGTTTCTGAAGAAACAAAAAGAAGTTGAAAAAGAAAAACAAATTGTTTATGCTTCCCTAATAAGGGAGCTTCCATGTTGATACATTAGAAATTCGACCGATCTAATTATTACACTATTATAGCCTGTTTGGTGAAGTTTCGAAAATCAGCTTATGTTGAAAAGTATTTTAATTTTTTTTTAGTGAGAAGTGGTTTATATTTGGTTAATTAATTTGAAAAACACTTTTGAGTATCAATTAGTGTTTGGCCAATTTTTTAAAAGTGCTTCTAAATATTCTTTTCTTACAAGTGTTTTTAGAAAAGGCGCTTCTACTTTACCCCTGTTATGAAACAATAAAAGAAGAAGAAGAACATAGCAGAGAAAGTAGGGAGAGAGAATTGTTATTGATTTTGGGATGAATTACAATGGAGTAGAACCATCTATTTATAGGGAGAGGGTGACTTAGCCACCAAGTAATAAACCGTAGAATCTCTCTAAATATAGACATTCACCATAAATAAAATTCTATTTATAACACTCCCCGTTGAATGTCTATTCAACAGATAATGTGCCTCGTTAAAACCTTAACTAAAATAAAATCCAATCGGCAAAAAATTCTAGAGAAGGAAAAAGAGTACACATATCTAACAATACGCATTTTGGTTGCCTCGTTAAAAACCTTGCAAGGAAAACCCAGTGGGACAAAACCTTGTAAGGGAAAAGAGTGCAACGCGCATTAACTCCCCCTGATGAGAGCATCAATTCACATCCTTGAGCCTTCGCATTCCAATCTTGTGCACTATCTTCAAAAGATCTTTGGTAGAGATTTGATAAACAAATCAACCATATTAACTTGAACGAATTTATTTCACCTTGAAATCATCATCCCTAATAGATGTATTGTCTTCATATGATCTTGTTGGAATCGTCATTTCAATATGTTCACATAGAGGTGAAAACTCTCGCTATCATATTATCATGCCTATAGTTATAACAAGATACATTTGTGCACAAATTGCACTGAGAAAGTGGTACTTCAAGATCAAGAATTGTATATTCTTCAAGCAACTTAAATCCTTCATGGATTGTCATATAAGTTAAGTCATATAAGCCATATAATAGACTTTAGATGCATATCAAGTTTTCATGTCATGCTAGACATATAAGATATTGAAAACCGATTGCACATATCATTGACTTTATACTTCAAGTGTTTGAACTACATGTTCAAAACTACATGTCTTTCATATGAAACCAATTTTATTTGAATTGTGTCTCTTCTATTGGCTAATATTTTTTTGTCTGTATTTGACAGACTTAAAATTCTCATCTATACTTAGCGCTTTCATAGATGTCGTCGACGAATATTTTATATCGGTTCCAACCTCTTTATTTTTCATAAAGACATAACATAGAGATCTCTTCATTTATATTTTCAGGTACCTGAATCTCTCATGAGATTTTATGAAGTGTTATGTCATGTGATCTTCTAGATCACTTGCCTCCTTTGTTATGATCATTTAGATCATTTTCTCATCTTCTTTATCAAGAAGTTTTTTTGAAACCGATTTGTCTATACGCTTCAAGCGTACCATAGACTTTGTCCTTCTAGGACTTAATAGGAGCATTTGCAATGAGAATATAGTTACTTTCTTTGGGCCAGCAAATGCGTCTAGCATGCTTTGCAATATATTGCAGATGAATTATCTTTTATGAACTTCAAGCTCATATTATCTTATACGAGGATCTAGATGTACAAATGATAATTCATTCCACGTAACTTTTTCTCAACTGTTTATCATGTCTCCCCCTCATGTTAGAAAAACTAACTTGTTACCTCAACTTTGAGAATCCACCTTTGTGCGTTATGGTGTTAATCAAAATATACACCGCACATCAATAAGAATAAGATGGAATTATTTGGTTCCTGACCCTGAACCACATGTGAGGGGAGAAAATAATATACTCTGATATATAACGTATATCAAACTGATATAGATAACTTTGTTCTCATAAGCAATTGTCTAGCTATTAAGTGGAGGGACTCAATAAATCATTTTGCTAAACCAACTGTGATGTAAACCAACTTATCAAGATAAACTATCTTGAATAGAAAATCTGGAAATTATGCTTGAAATTAAATTATTGAGCAAGTTACCTCGCAAAATACCATGTTGCGGGTTATTAATAATCGCACATGTAACCATCTCATAGATGCATCTTGTGTGGTATACATGGCAGGTGAATGAGCCCATATTCACCTTTGATATTTTCAGCATTCATGGGATTCAATCCCAATTTTTGTTGGTATATTAATTAATGACAACAGGCAACATAAGAGAATTCGTAAAGAACTTTCTAGTTCTTTAATATTTACCCATGTGAATTCTCTTTTATTTTTGCACATCATACTTAAAATGATATGGGTAAACCAATTATGCCAACTGAATAAATTATCAATATTGATAAACTTCAGATTTACACCATGACGTGTGCAATTATCAACAAACTCCAAGTTTATTATGATATGTGTTTTATATCAATAAACTTCTCTTTATTGTGGAATTCTTTTGTTTGTGTAGTACAAACTGGAGAATAAAGCGGGTAGCTTTTCACATACATGTTATCCCGCTACAAGTTGTAGTAATAGAAGATATTAAATCTTTCCTTTATTTATAGTCTCAATATAATCAACCGCTTTCGCGTATACTTTGGAAACTGTATAAGTTTCTTTGAGACTTACTACAACACAATACCTTATTGGTAATCAATTGTGTTTCTCCAAAATAGTATAATTGGCTCTTGCAAAGTTCTCAATTAATTTTGTACTATCACAAATTCATCAACATCCATATGGTCATATATCTCTTTCAAGGAGAAAGTTATACCATTATGGTCATGATCAAAATTATATGCAAGATATGTTTCTTGCATTATTGTTGTCCTTTAATAATCACATTGCCAAAATATTTTGGCGTACAATAGGTACGTGACCAATGACTTCATGCCATAATAATGACATTATTTTCTTATATCATCTCAAACCTCCTTCTAGAGGTGAGTGTGGTATATTCACTACCACTAGTACGTTCATATTCTTTGAAGAATGAATATGTATTCATAAATCAGATGTTGTCACATTCACATCATGAATGGACCATAATCATCTATATGTGCTTTATAAAATCTCATGTCAAATCGATGACAAATATTACTTTCACAAAGTGAAGGATTATTTTGAGAATCCTTATTATTCTCACTATCACAATGATGACGATTATAATTTCGTCTAATACCACGTCCACATCCATTGATACCTTCACGGTAATAATTTTGTCTTCTTTCAGACACATTCTTTTAAGGGAATGAGAATGAAGCAAATTCAATGGGACAGGTATATATGCACTTCTTGTGCCCATAATCATATATAAATTTGATCATGGCAAGACATAGAAATTTTACCACTTCGAGTGGTTATAATTTCTTACTAACTCCATTAGAGTTATAATCAAATTTTATTGTCTTCGCTTGTATTTAAAATCAAATTATAGAATAAAAGAGAAAATACGGTAAAATACTTACCTTAAATCCAGAATATAATCATGAAGGAAGTTCATGGAATAATTGACAGTCATTATGCTCAATCCCAAAGCTTCTACTCAATTGGTTAGTGTCTCGTGCTGATAACGTGTTATGAAACAATAAAAGAAGAAGAAGGACATTGCAGAAAAAAGTAGGGAGAGAGAATTGTTATTGATTTTGGATGAATTACAATGGAATAGAACCATCTATTTATACCCTAAAATCTCTCTAAATATAGACATTCATCATAAACCTAAAATATTTTTTCCCCTTTCTAAAAGCTTGACATACTTTTGGCCAAAAAGTACTTTTCGCAAAAGAAAGCTTGACCAAGCGGGCCTCAATAATTGTTCGGTGCAAATACATTAAATAAAGAAATTAAAGAATGTTCGTTATGCCAAAGGAAATGCATTACATAATTACTTCATGGAACATTTGGTCAAAAGATTCGATGTTGACAGCCCAAATTCCATAAAGATAGGATTTTTAAAATAAAAAAATATTTCACGTGGTATATAGTTTAAACAAAAGCTTATCCTCCACCTGATTCGCATTATCAAGTTGACATCTTACGCTTGTTTTTGGATGATACCTTAATTTAAAAATTGATTAATAGAAGGACGATGAATATTTTTATCCATGGAATTCTGAAAGATATTATTAATGTCGTATATGGGCTTCAATTTTTTTTTTAAATAAAGGAATTAGAAAAAGACTATTCAAGAATAGTGTTTTAAAAGGCGTGGGCATAAGGTAAGGCGTTTTACATATACCTCAGCGAGGCGTTTTACATATATTAGTTAGGAAAATTAGTTAGGAGGTTAGTTATAGCTAATTATAGGACTGGTTGTTAGTGAATTAACAGAAGTGGTAAGATTGATTAGGCTAGCTGTTAGTCATAGTATATATATATTAGACAGATGTCATTGTATTCAATCAGATTAGAGAGAATAATTTTCAGCACATTTTGCTCTCCAGTGGAGCCTTTGTTCTAGAATCTTCTGGTTCATTTCTCTTCCATCTTTTCAATCGAGCTAATAACCGATCTTCATCATGGTATCAGTGCGCGGGAGCTAGATACTTGCTCGCTGTATCGATCTCCTCTGTTTTTTGCGGAGTTGTTCTGTTGCTGACTGTTCGAGTTTTTCTCGATCGGTTAACCTAGGTTTTGTTTTTTCTTTCGATTTGCAACTAGCGAGTCTGTAATTCATTGAAGCGAAGAGTTAATTCAACTGAATATATCAGCTATGCCAATTGGAGAAGAAACTGCAACTGGAACGAGCACAGGAACGGCTGTAGATCATCATTATCCTTTGTATCTACAGCCTTGTGACACTCCAGGTAGTTCCTTGATTTCTATTCAATTGACTGGGACAGAAAATTATGCATTATGGAGTATATCTATGAAAACAGGACTGATTGGTTAAAGTAAGCTAGGTTTTGTTGATGGCCGATGTACTAAGGACAAATTTGATCGATCCTTGCATGAACTTTGGGAGAAATGTAATGCGATAGTTTTCTCATGGATTATGAATGCTGTAAGTAAGGAGTTACTCAGTGGAATTGTGTATAAATCTAGTGCTCATAAAGTCTGGACAGATTTGAAGGATAAGTATGATAAAGTCGATGGATCTCGTATCTTCTTCTTGCACTAAGAAATTGCTACTTTGTCGAAGGGAATTTCCTCAGTGTCTGCATATTTCTCTAAGTTGACAAACCTTTGGGAGGAATATGATACCTTGATGCCTTGCCCTGGGTGTGATTGCCCAGAATCTAAGAACTATTTCGAACATTTTGAGTACCAAAGGTTGTTGCAGTTCCTAATGGGGATAAATGAGACGTATAGCCAACCTAGAAGCCAGATTTTGATGATGAGTCCAGTGTCCACAGTCAACAAAGCTTATTCTATGATAGTGTCTGAAGAAAGCCAAGGAGCTTTAGGAAAGTTTTCCCAGGCTGTAGATATAGCAGATGGAACAACATTATTCACCAACAAAGAAATGAACTCAAGAAATAACTATAAGCCCAGGAGAGGGAATATGTTCTGTGACTACTGCAACTATAAGGGGCACACAAGAGATACCTGCTTTAAATTACATGGATACTCAGTTGACTTCAAAATGAGGAAGAAAGAAATAGGTTTTCCTCAAGCAACAAGTTTTCCTCAAAGACCTATGCCTAATGCAACTACACAAGAGGGACAACAGTCAATGACAAAGCAGATGACCAATGTAGCTTCACAAGAAGGACAATAGATGATGAACACACCTACTGCCAATCTAGCACAAGGAATGCCAATCTTGTTCACTCAGGAGCAATACGACCAGATTTTGAAGTTGATCAATAAGGACACAGGTGAAAACACAAAAGCCTTTGCAGGTACAACAAAGACTTTTGTCACAAATGAATCAGTTAAAAATGAGAATTGGATAGTAGACTCTGGTATAACCAATGATATAGTTCACACTAGAGAGCTGCTTGACAAGATAAACACAGGTATTTTAGGCAATGCACCAAAGGTATACTTACCTAATGGAACTTCACTTGATGTTGAATGTACAGGAGAGAGTAGAATTGGTGAAAACAGTGTTGTTAAGAATGTTTTGTATATTCTCAAACTTTAAATATAGCTTGCTATCTGTGTCCAAGATTACAAAGAACTTAAGATGCTTTATATCCCTTTATCCTCATTTTTGGATAATGCAGGACCTTTATAGTGGGAAGGTGAAGGGGATTGGTAAGGAGCTGGAGGGTTTGTACAACTTGCAGCATTAGAAACTTGAAGCCAGGGCTGCGGCTATACACCTTCAGGATCATTCTATGCAAGAGGAGGATTTGAAAGTATGGCATGGAAGGCTTGGGCATGCTCCAGATAGAGTAGTGAAACAGATTCCAAACATGAAGTTCAAAGCTAGTACTGATGGAATAAAGGAATGCACAGTCTGTCCTTTGGCTAGACAAGGCAGATGGCCTTTCCCTAATAGTATAAACAGATCAAGTAAACCTTTTCAGTTGATTCATGTAGATGTTTGGGTTCCTTATAGAGTAGAAACTCATAGTGGACATAGATTTTTCTTTACTATAGTAGATGACTGTAGTAGAATAATATGGATTTACTTGCTGAGACTTAAGAGTGATGTGGTTGTATGTTTGAGACAATTCCTAGCCTTAATAAAGACTCAATTTGATGTGACTGTGAAAATTTTGAGGAGTGATAATGGATCTGAATTTTTTAATTCTGAATGCAATGGTTTGTTTCAGTCTTATGGAATGATTCACCAAAGTTCTTGTATCCACACCCGACAGCAAAATGGGGTAGTGGAAAGAAAGCAAAGGCACATATTGGAAGTGGCTTGAGCCATCAGATTGCAAGGTTTTTTGCCTCTCAAGTTTTGGGGGGAATGTGTACAAACAATTGCTTATGTGATAAACAGTCTGCCTCTATCAGTGTTATTAGGAAAGTCATCCTTTGAGGTGTTGTATGGGAGAACACCGTCCCTGCAGCATATGAGAACCATAGGGTGTTTATGTTTTGCTAAGACAGTAGGAGAAGGAGACAAGTTTGCAACTAAATCAATTGAAGTTGTGTTGATGGGATACTCTTCATCCCAGAAGGGTAACATGCTATATAATATTTTAACTAACTCTTTCTTTGTTAGAAGGGATGTCAAGTTTATGGAACATGTCTTCTCATTCCAGTTACTTAAGGAAGGACAGCTACAGCTCTTCCCTAATGGTGTGCTAGACCCTCCAGTCACTACTGATGCAATGCCACCTCACAGTATAGATATCTCAAAACCAGTAGAATCACCAGATGATGACACATCCTTCTCAGCAACACCACCTGTTGCAGATAACCATGCTGCCGATACACTACCTTTATCACCACTTTCCCTGCTCCTTAAAGACACACAGACTCAGCAACTACTTCCTTCAGAACAAGGCACATTTGCTCCTGTAGAAAGTCAGCTCCGAAAATCAGCTAGGACAACTAAAGAGCCTGTGTGGATGCAAGATCATGTCTACAATTGTTCATCAACAACATCAGCTAACAAGTAGCTTTGCAAATATCCAATGCAAAGCTATTTAAGCCATGCAGGAGTATCAGCTAAATACCAGTCTTATTTGTCCAAGATTACCAGCGTTAAGGAGCCTATGAATTATGAGGAAGCTGCATCAGACACCAAATGGATTGATGCTATGACTCAAGTACTGAATGCACTCAAGAAAAATGGGACTTGGACCTTGGTAGATTTACCAACAGAAAAAACTCCTATTGGATGAAGTGGGTATTTAAGATAAAGTATAAGGCCAATAGAGAGATTGAAAGATACAAGGCACGACTGGTAGCCAAAGGATACAATCAAATAGAAGGGCTAGATTACCAGGAAACATTCTCTCCTGTCGTCAAGATGGTGACAGTAAGAGTGGTTCTAGCTTTGGCAGTAGCAAACAACTGGAATCTACATCAGATGGATGTTTATAATGCATTTCTACAAGGAGACCTCACTGAAGAGGTCTATATGTGTTTACCTCAGGGATTTCCTAGCCAGGGGAAAAAGTCTACAGGCTGCATAAATCCCTGTATGGTCTAAAGCAAAGATTCAAGACAATGGAACCTAAAACTAACTGAGGCACTACTCAGTTTAGGTTTTGTGCAGAGTCACTTTGATTACTCTTTATTCACAAAGAAGCAAGGAACAAAACTAGCGATCGACTAAGTGTATGTAGATGATCTTCTCATAATTGGAATGATCAAGGACTGATCTCTGAGGCAAAAGCCATACTGCAGGGTAATTTCAAATCAAAGACTTGGGGAAATTAAAGTTCTTCCTTGGGATTGAGATAGCAAGGTCCAAAGAAGGAATACTGATGAATCAAAGGAAGTTTGCAATGGAGTTAATTTCTGAACTTGGATTAGCAGGGTCAAAACCAGTGACCACACTAATGGAATGCAACCAGAGATTCACCACTGTAGAGTATGATCAGCATATGAACTGGAAAGAAGATGAGAAGTTGGCAGACTCAGGACCATATCAGAGGTGAAGTTTGCAGACTCAGGACCATATCAGAGGTTAGTTGGGAAGTTACTATATCTCACCGTGACTAGACCAGATATATGCTATGCAGTTCATGTACTAAGTCAGTTCATGCACTGTCCAAAGAAATCTCACATGGAAGCTGCAGTCAGGGTCGTTAGATATATTAAAGGTGCTCCAGGACTGGGGTTGCTAATGAGCTCTAAACAGTCCACAAAGCTCACAGCCTTTTGTGATGCTGATTGGGCATCATGCCCAGTTTCCAGAAGGTTAGTAACGGGATATGTGATGAAATTGGGAGATTCATTAGTGTCATGGAAATACAAGAAATAACGCACAATCTCGAGAAGCTCAGCAGAGGTAGAATACAGGAGCATGGCAGTAGGAGTTGCAGAAATCTTATGGTTGATAGGACTTTGTAAAGAGTTGGGTGCAGAAGTTGAATTGCCGGTGGAGCTTCACTGTGGTAGAAAAGCAACAAATCATATTGCTGCAAATCCCATATTTCATAAGCGTATAAAGCACATAGAGATAGACTTACACTTCATCAGAGAAAGGATTCAACAAGGGATAGTCAGAACCAAGTAGCTGATGTCTAAGGATCAAGAAACAGACCTGTTCACAAAGGCACTGGGGAGATCACAACACGAGTGCCTGATAAGCAAGCTAGGAGTGCTCAATCTATTTACACCACCTAGCTTGAGGGGGAGTATAGAAGAAAGAAGCAGCAGCACGTGACTATCACGTGAGTCAGTGGGTTAGTTAGGAAAATTACTTAGGAGGTTAGTTATAACTAATTAGGGATTGGTTGTTAGTGAATTAGAAGAAGTGGTACGATTGATTAGGCTAGCTGTTAGTCATAGTGCATGTATATTAGACATATGTCATTGTATTCAATCAGATTAGAAAGAATAATTTTCAGCTCATTTTGCTCTCCAATGGAGCCTTTGTTCTAGAACCTTCCGGTTCATTTCTCTTCTCTCTTTTCAATTGAGCTAATATCCGATGTTCATCAGTAAGCCTCGAGACACAGGGCGTAAGCCCCATGGGTATTTAATTTTTAATATTTTATTAAATAATATAATTACAGTAAGTATTTTAAATAGGTAAAATTGTATAAAAATTAAAGAAAACTATAAATAAGTGATATATATA